TCTTTCTGGTCCGGACGGATGAGCGTACGAAGCATCATTTGAGCGGTTTGATGTGCCCGCTCCGCCGAACTTGGTTTCATTATTGTGTCGGACTCCTGCATGAGAGCAGTCCAAAATGCCGACATGAAACGAGTGTCGCGGTCGCTGACAATGTCTTCTGGTACACCGTGGCCACAAATCCAACTAGTGTGCAGGAGGCGTGCCAGCTCGGGAGCCGTGGAGTAGTACTTGCAAGGGAGAAAACGCGCGTACTTACTCAATCGGTCCACAACCGTGAGGATGCCGTCGTGCTCGAGCCTGTCGCGAGGAAACTGACCGGTGACGTCCATGGCAATGGAGAGACCGGGTTCCCGTGGGATAGGCATCGGGTGTAACTCGCCATAGGGATTGCGGTTGCGGGGTTTGCTGCGTCGGCAAACTTCGCACGAGTCGCAATACCGAGTGACATCGGTAATGAGGTCGGGCCATCGGAATCGCTGTCGAAGCCGTGCAATAGTGCGGTTGACTCCGAAATGGCCGGCGAGTCGTGAATCATGATACTCGTCGAGGAGGCGAGTCCGAAGACGGCGGTCACGTGGGACACACAATAAGTCCTTGCCTCTCGAGTGGAGGAGCAAGTATCTGTCGGCAATGCGATAGTGGCTGGTCGGCGGGTGATCCGAAGATAGCTGTGCGTACAGCATGGCGAAGTCCGGATCAGACTCATATGCCCGAATGAAGTGTCGTTGAAGCTCCTCGTCGAATGCGAAGGCATGATGTGTCATAGCGCAAAGATCTGGTCTTCGCGAGAGTGCATCTGCTGCGCGATTTGAGAGGCCGGGTAGATGTTTCGGTGTGAAGTCAAACTGGTCGATGAAGTACATCCATCGTCCGATCGTGCTGCTCACCGTATCATATGTCTTGTAGTAGGTCAATGGATTGTTGTTTGTGACCCATGTGAACCTACGACGCCCAAGGAGGAAGTGCCGCCATCGCTTGAGAGCCATGACGAACGCGAGTAGCTCCTTCTTCCTTGCATCATCAAGTGAGTTGATGGGAGGCACTTTGTGGCTGAAATACTCCACAGGGTGCCAGTCGTCGTCGTCGTGCTGTTCCAAGACTGCCCCAATGCCGTAGCCGGAATCGTCCGTAGTCACTCTCGTAGGCAGGGTGGGGTCGTAGATGCTAAGGACGGGTGCCATGAGCATAGCCGTCTTAAGTGCTTGGAATGACCGGCGTGCGTCGTCATCGATTACGAATGGCACCTTTGGCGACTGTAACCTCGTCATAGGTGCAACAATCCTTGAGTATCCGGTGATGAATCGCTGATAGTAGCCCGCCAATCCCATGAATGAACGAACGTCCGTGGTGTTGGTGGGCTCGGGCCATACTTGTAGGGCCTCGATCTTGTCCGCAAGCGGACGGATGCCTTGCGGCGCCACATAAGGTCCCAAGTACTCCAGCTCCTGCCGTGCGAACTCGCACTTGTCGCGGTTTGCTTTGTACTTGGCCTGTCATAGCCACTCCAAAACGGTGCGCAGGTGTTCCACATGCTCCTCCAAACTCCGGCTGTACACCAGGATGTCGTCGAGATAGATAAGTACGTATCGATCCAGCATGTGTCGGAACTCTGTTGTCATAGCCGCTTGGAAAGTGGTCGGGGCATTCGTAAGGCCACATGGCATAACCAGCCATTCGAAATGCCCATATCGCGTCTTAAACGCGGTCTTGTAACGGTCCTACACCCCCATCTATCGTCTCTGACGATGGAAGCTCGCATGCTTGCGGCGGATACCACGTGGCAGCTGATTGAAGGATGAGGAAGAGGCACCGTGCATGAAACCAATACTCCGTTCCGATCACGAATGTGAACGGTGCGGTTGAAGAAGTTCACCGGGTGATCCTTGCTTCGCAGCCATGACATGCCCAAGATCATGTCGAATTTGGTGTCCAGAATGTCAAAGGACACCGCCTCACTTGCGTGCGGGGCAAAGTACACTGGGACGCTGTCAATGCACCGGTCGATTGACTTGTGCGTGTGACCGTCCGCCAGTGTGACTTGCGTAGGCTGGGGCTTCGTCCGGACGTGTGGGCCAAGGCCGGCGCGCGCCATGAAGTCCTGGCTGATGTAGTTGCGAGATGCTCCGCAATCGATCAAAGCGCTGCAGGTCGCTTCTCCGATCTGAATGCATACATATAGCAATGGTGCGTCGATGTCGTCGTACCGTTGCGTCTTGAACTCGCGGTCGATCTTCGCAATGCAGACGTGAAGGTCGACAACCTCTACTCCGGCGTCCATTAACGGAGTCGGTACTGCTGTGTGCAAGTAATCTCGCAGTTGTGCAATGAGCACATTGCAATGCGGTTTCGACAATCGTCCGGTCGAGGGAACGGGCATCCACTGGAAGTCCGTGGACGTCAGTGGGTCGAGCACCTCAAGTCTTGACCACGACGATGAATCCCCGGCGATAGATGGCGGCGAAGCTGCCGAATCGGTTGCCGATGGTGATGAAACCGTGCATGCGGTAGATTTTTGCACGTGGAGCGGTTGATCCAGCGGTGGAACCAAGTGGACAGCATAGTCCTCGTAAGTGTAACGAGAACTTGTGACATTTCCGTTCTCCCCAGATGTGCAGGAGGCCGCTAGCAAGGCACCCGAATCTGGCGGAGTAGAAGGTGGAGTCGCCTCACCTTCCGCGGAGCTCAGTTTCCGGAGCTGAGGCGGGGTCGCACATCCTCCTTGCCCTGATCTTGGCACAGGGAGGTCTTGCGCTTGGTGCTGTTGCACCAATAGCAGCTGCTGTAGCGGTTGCGGACCTTGTACTCCGCCTCGCTCAAGCCGAACTTGACCCATGGAACTTGTACTGGCTGTCCATTTCCAGCCTGCGATGCGGATTTCGCCTTCCCATTGTTGTGGGACTTGTTGTTGCTTCGCGGCTGGACAGCAGCCACCTGATCTCCGTCACTTGATGCTGAAGTGGCTGCTGGGTTATCTCCAGTGTCCGACTGGACTGCAGCGAAGTGCTGCTGTCGCAGACCAGTTCGTACCTTCTCCACATAGGTCGGCTGCCATGTTGATTTCTCGTGTGCAGCTGACCTGTTGGTCTTGATGATTTCCCTCGCCTTGTCAATGATCTCAGCGAAGGTTGAGTAGTGCTCGYGATCACCAAGAGCCTGGCTCAATGCCGCATAGGACCTGTTGTAGAACTCACGGCGTAGATGTGTGAATGCCAACTCCAGATTGGGCACCGCCGCAATCTTCTGCCACTCCGTGAGCCAATCCCGTGTTGCAGTGTTGCCCTGTGACATGGTGAACAGACGGTTGATGGCGAGTGTCGGCGCGTCGTCAACGATGAACCGCTTCTTCCACAGCCGTGTTAGTTCCTCCCATGTGATCTTGTCCTTCAAGTCCGGTACGTCGACGTCGTGGGAGGTTGCCAGGTGGCTCAACCAAGTCTGGCATCCGCCCTTTGAGTTCAGGAACAGGGCGCCGATGTACGCATGCTTGGCGACAGGCAGAATCCTGAGTTGCGTCGTGAATGCCTCCCACCAGAGGACCGGATCCTGCTGCGTGTGGTCGTYGAACTTGTCCAGTTGGAAAGTTGGCATCTTGTACATCTTCGGATTGTCATCCGCATTCATCGACTGCAACTGCTGGACCTCGGTCTTCAAGGTATGCAGCTGACTGCTGATGGTGGTCGGCGCAGCGAAGGTGCTGATGTCGCCGAGCATTTCCACTACGTGGTCCACGCGTTCCTCCAGTTGGCGGCTAGAGGATGCACTGCTGGAAGCCCCAGCATCTGGTCCTGGTACAGCCTGTTCCAGGCCCAGTACACGGGCGTCCAGTGCCYGTGTGGCMTCCTCGTGCTGAGTCTTRTGATTCCGCACGGCCCGCTGGAGGTTTGCCAGCTCGGACTGTAGGTGGTTACACGTGTAAACCAACCTGCTCACGAGCTTGGCCATGAACTCCTTATGCTGTTCTTCCGGTGTTGGCTCGTCGCCCTTTGGTTCAAAGTGCCAGAACTTGAGTTTCTCGATGCTGTTGGCTTCATGCCGCTGCAGCAGACCCTGGGCTTCCTTTCGGCGAGCCTGGGCATCTACGTCTGCTTCGGCCTGTAGCCGCAGCTTCTCTGCTGTTGCCGCTTCTTCAGCCTGTAGCTGGGCAGCCTTGGCTGCCAGCTGGCGTTGTTCCTCAGCCTCGATTAGAGCGAGCTGAGCATGAAAGCGCTTTTTGTAGTCGGCAATTGGCTCATTGGCCAGTTGGCCTGGCAGGCCCGTCATGTTGCTGACGTGGCACTTTGTCTGACGTGGCACTGTGTCTGACATGGCACTGCTGACATGGCACTGCTTACATGGCAGTGTCTGACATGGTACTGCTGACATGTCACTGTAGCTGACGTGTCACTGTGTCTGACGTGGCACTGCTGACGTGTCACTGTAGCTGACGTGTCAYTGTGTGACATGGCCTGCTGACGTGTCACTGTGTCTGATGTGGCACTGCTGACGTGTCACTGTAGCTGATGTGTCACTGTGTCTGACGTGGCACTGCTGACGTGTCACTATGTGATGTGGCCTGCTGACGTGTCACTGTGTCTGACGTGGCACTGCTGACATGTCACAATGTGATGTGGCCTGCTGACGTGTCACTGTCTGATGTGTCACTGTCTGACATGGCACTGCTGACGTGTCACTGAAGCTGACGTGTCACTGTAGCAACCCGGAAATGCATGCAAGGGGTGGGTGAGAGGGAAAACGCAGGTAGGAAACCAACCCAACAATACTTTCCTCCGGCCCTAATCAATAAATAGAATAAAATAAAACATAAAAGAGGACTACTTCCTTTTTTTTTTTCTTTTTTTTTTTTTGTATATCTGTCGATCTATTATGAGTAGGATATGTCAGAAGAGTATTATGAACGAGATCTAGGCTAGGTTCCGCAAAGTTTCGGCTTTTACAAACTGCGATCTTGAAAAAAAAAAATTTGCGAGATGGAGTAAAGATGCGATTTTCAGAAGAGAACGAAATCCAGTTTCTGAGAATATGCAACCTCCGAATATGCCTAACGCAATATTGGTAGGCTTCGCAAGATGTCGGTTTTCAAAAAAACTTTGCGAGATAGAATGGAAATTCGATTTTCAGAAAAGAATAATTCCAGTTTCCGAGAATATGACCACTTCTATCGTTATCCCAATATGCCTAGAGAACGAAA